GGAGTTCGAGACCAGCCTGGCCAATATGGCGAAAACCTGTCTCTACTAAAAAGACAAAAATTAGCCAGGCATGATGGCAGGCACTTGTGTCCCAGCTACTCGGAAGGCTGAGGTAGGAGAATCACTTGAACCCCTAGGCAAAACTTGCAGCGAGCCAAGATTGTGCCACTGCGCTCCAGCCTGGGCTACAGAGTGACTTTGTCTCAAAAAAAAAAAAAAGAAAAGAAAAGAAAAGAAAATGTCCTTGATCATTTACTCACTGAAGATGAAGAGAATACTGATTGCTTTCCCTTTTTATTTCAATGATGTACCTATTAGATTACCAAGGCGAGTACCCAGTAGGCAGCTAAGTACGCAGCCTCAGGGTCAGATCCAGGCTGAGATACAGATTTAGGAATAACTGGCATACAGATAGGTTGTTCTTTTTTTCTTTTCCTTTGACATGGAGTCACACTCTGTTGCCTGGCTGGAGTGCAGTGGCATAATCTTGGCTCACTATAACCTCCACCTCCTGAGTACCTGAGACTACAGGCGTGCGGCACCATGCCCAGCTAATTTGTATTTTTAGTAGAAACGGGGTTTCACCATGTTGGCCAGGATGGTCTCAATCTCTTGACCTCATGATCTGCCCACCTTGGCCTCCCAAAGTGCTGGGATTACAGGCATGAGCCACTGTGCCCAGCAGATAGCTTATTCTTAAAGAGCATGTTCCTAGCAATCTGTAACATTGAGCCTCCATGTCTTTTGAGAAGGGTCTTTCATATGCTTGTCCAACTTATTCTGAATCTTTAATGCCATCTCTTCCCAAGCATCTAACTAGAAAACTGACATATTAAGACACTTATGTGTACAGTGCCAGGAGACTGCAGGTAATAATACCAGCTTGTGGCTGGGAGCGGTGGCTCACACCCGTAATCCCTGCACTTCAGGAGGCTGAGGTGGGTGGATCACCTGAGGTCAGGAATTCAAGACCAGCCTGGCCAACATGATGAAACCCTATCTCTACTAAAAATGCAAAAAATTAGCTGGGCATGGTGGTGCATGCATGTAATCCCAACTACTCAGGAGACTGAAGCAAGACAATCACTTGAACCCAGGAGGTGGAGGTTGCAGTGAGCCAAGATCACACCACTGCTCTCCAGCATGGGCAACAAGAGCAAAACTCTGTCTCAATAATAATAATAATAATACCAGCTTGCATTTGTTGAGTACTTACTATGTGCCAGATACTGTTTTGATTGCTTTATGTGTTCTAGTTAATTTAATCTTCACAAGTACACTAGGGGTAGTTACTGTTGTTATCTTTATTTTGTTGATGAGAAAGTTGAGGCACTGAGAGATTTAGTGATTTACCCAATACTATTTCATTGCTAAGGGGGGAGCTGTCATTCATATTCAGGCAGTCTGAAACTTGTGTTTTGCATTCTAATTATCAGTGTTAAGTATCTCATCTCTAAAGGAATAATCCATTATCAGTTTAAAGAGACTCACAATTTAGAAACTCTTTTATTTATATATCATTATCAAATTGTTTCTATTAGTCTTACAAAGTTTACTCTTTTAAAGAACACTGGTTACTTGGAGCTACAAATAAGCAGCTTTTCCATTTGGGCTTTGAGAACCATTTCTGCCAGTAACCCATACCTGATCCAGCTACTGAATTATTCTCCAAACCTGCTTTTTCTCCAGACTTTCCTGTCTCCATGAATTAAACCACCAACTAACCACCTTCACAGAGGCCTACTACTATTCTGATTTATTCATTTATTTTTTTCAGCCCTGTTGCCACCACCTCCAGAACACTACCTGAATCTTTGTTTGCATTTTTATTCGCTCTGCCTCCATTGGAGTATACACGATCATCCTTATTTGCCTCAACCACCGCCATAAGGTTCTAACAGGGCTCAGAGTTTCCACCTTGTCCCTCACTTAGCAGCCAGAGATCTTTTTAAAAGAACTCAGGCCACATTCCTGCTTAAACCTTCCAATTGCTTTTTCACTAGTACCTAGAATGAAATTCGGATTACTTACCATGGCTGGTAGCCACCAGGTCTTCTACTGTTTAGTCCCCTGTAGTTATGCTGTCCCACCCATACCAGCCTTCATTCTGTTCCTCAGTAGGCCACACTCATCCTCTCTTAGCCCTTTGCAGTAGCTGTTCCTTTTCCTTTCAGTCCTGTCCTTCTGATTGTCTGTCTCTTTCTTTCTTTTTTCTTTTTCTTTTGAGACGAAGTTTCGCTCTTGTTACCCAGGCTGGAGTGCAATGGCGCGATCTTGACTCACCGCAACCTCCGCCTCCTGGGTTCAGGCAATTCTCCTGCCTCAGCCTCCTGAGTGGCTGGGATTACAGGCACGCACCACCATGCCCAGCTAATGTTTTGTATTTTTAGTAGAGACGGGGTTTCACCATGTTGACCAGGATGGTCTCGATCTCTTGACCTCGTGATCCACCCGTCTCAGCCTCCCAAAGTGCTGGGATTACAGGCTTGAGCCACCGCGCCCGGCCGTCTGGCTCTTTCTTAACATTAAGTACCCAGTTCAAACATCACCCACTCAGAGAGGCACTTCCTGATCACGCAGGGAGTCTAGAGTAACTATCTAGGTGTTCTGCTACATTATCACAATATCTATTAAATGATTTTTATTATTATTATTTTTATTATTTGAGACAGAGTCTGTCACTCTGTCCCCAGATTGGAGTGCAGTGGCCCGATCTCAGCTCACTGCAACCTCCACTTACAGGGTTCAAGCAATTCTCCCTGCCTCAGCATCCTGAGTAGCTGGGATTCAGGTGCCCACCACCACACCCGGCCTCTATTAGCAGAGATGGGGTTTCAACATGTTACCCAGGTTGGTCTCAAACTCCTGACCTCCGCCCACCTCAGCCTCCCAAAGTGCTAGGATTAGGCGTGAGCCACCACGCCCAGCCTCTATTAAATTATGTTCTTGTAATTCTCAGCCGAGCACTTAGCACCAACTCTTATTTTTTCTTGTTAAATTGTTACTTTTTGCCAGCTCTAGACTGTTAGAGCTCCATGTGAGCAGGTATTTTGTTTGTCTTGTTTGCTTTAGCTTCAGGGCCTATAGTATCTGGGTATGAAGAAGGGACTCATTAAGTATTTGTTAGTTAACTAATTCTTTATATTTCATAGTCACATCTTGAAGACTTCAACCTAGGAGATCTTTACCAAAACAACCTTGATCTGCTAGCAGAGTCATGAGACTCCTGTCCCAACTTTTGAGAGATTTGGCAAATGCTGCCTTTCTCTTTTTAAAATTACATGAGTAGTCCTTGTACTGTCTTACTAACATTTTATTGTAACCATATTTGGATTTAAGTTTACAAATTATGTTGGAAAGTGAACAACAGACTCTTGATTCGTAAATAAGACTGTAATTTTTACTGGTGACAGCTTTTGTCACCTAGAATCAATGTGCTTATTCTTCTGAGATCACTGAAATGAGCTTTGTAAATATTTTTGTGTAATATCATTTTATGGTATATCCTTCCAATTATATTGCTTTTTCCATGCTGAATTCCTTCTGGAAATGATGGAGTAGGGGAGCACCTTGGATCTTTGCTTTAAACCCAAATATGTAGGGTTTTTTTGCTTAGTGTTTTCTTTTTTCACACCAAAGTTAAAGTTTTACAGTATTAGTTTTACGTGTAGACAGTCATTCCTTATAGATGTTGTAAAGCATTGTCTCTACATATAAAATTCAGACTTGGAATGTTGGTAGATGTTAATAACACACAACAGAGGCTTCTGGGAATGTTATTTTCAAAATAATTTGTCAAGTCTTCATGCTTAGCCTCGTTTAGACACTATACCAGAATTAGAGGAAAAAAACATAATCAGCTTATATTACAGGGTTCAATCAAAATGCAAATAGCATTGACAGATATTCAAGGGCAAAACATGGGCAGGATAAATTTAAGGCAAGAGGAAAGAAGATGAGGGAGAAAAATGACTATGTTATTAGTCATTGTTCTATATTCTATACTTGAAGGCTGTAACAGATGGACCCTCAGATAACCTTCATGGTGTGGTTTAATTTACTCTATATAATAATTTCCACAATTCTTGCAAATGATTAAATGAGTGGTTCTTGATAACAATTATGAGCATTTTAAGGTGATAATTTATACATACTTCCCTAAATTTTATGTCAGGGAGTTCCTGCTATAATTTGGTAAATGTCCATGAACCTCTTGAAAAATAATACTCATAAATGTGGAAGGCCTATACATAAATTTCATTTCATACCTCATATTCAATAATAATATATTATTTTGTGTCACAAATCTTTTATCTGTTCTTTTTTTTTTTTTTTTTTTTTTTTGAGACTGAGTTTCGCTCTTGTTACCCAGGCTGGAGTGCAATGGCGCGATCTCGGCTCACGGCAACCTCCGCCTCCTGGGTTCAGGCAATTCTCCTGCCTCAGCCTCCTGAGTAGCTGCGATTACAGGCACGTGCCACCACGCCCAGCTAATTTTTTTGTATTTTTAGTAGAGACGGGGTTTCACTATGTTGACCAGGATGGTCTCGATCTCTTGACCTCATGATCCACCCGCCTCGGCCTCCCAAAGTGCTGGGATTACAGGCTTGAGCCACTGCGCCCAGCCCTTTTATCTGTTCTTAATCTGATATTCCTTAGTTGAACACTTGAGATGCATTCATAGAATTATACATTTTACTAAATATATCACAGCTTGAAAGATAGTGTCCCCATTTTTATCAGCTTTCATAGAATTCTTAATTGATTTTCAAATGGCTAATACTGCTTTTTAAAATTAGTTGATCAAGCTCTTAAGCTCTTATTTCTGAGTTTCTTGTTAATCTAGTTCAGACTAGACCAGGGGTCAGCAAACGTTTTTCATGTAAATTCAGATAATAAATACTTTAGGTTTTGCGGGTCCAGTCATCACTGTCATAACTCAACTCTGTTATTGCAGTGTAAAAGCAGTTATAGAAAATAAACATGTAAACGAATATGGCTGTGTTCCAGTAAAACTTTATTTATGGACAGCAACATCTGAATTTTATGAAATTTTCACATCACAAAATAGTCATATTTTGATTGTTTTTCAACATTCCCAGTGGGTCAAATTTGGCCTGTGAACCACAGTTTGCAAACCCTCCCCCAGGCTCAAAGTCACATCCTGAATTGCATGTCACATATCTGCAGGAGAAGAAATTCGAAACAAATCCAGAGAGAGTTGTGTTTTACCATAGTTACTCCATTACTTAGTAATTATCAGTCATGTATTAGACCAGTCATGTATCTGTTAAAATCAGATATTTGATTCTAAAAAATCTCAAGATTAATTCAGCAATCTTGAAGGTAAATAAATGAAGGGCCATGAAAAGACATTAGCTTAAAAGTATTAGGTTTTTAACATTTTTGTTACAAATATGATTTTTTTTTCACTCACTTGGATTTTTATCTGCTTACTGTAAAAAAACAAGAAATCACTGTAGAATTACTAGGTCAGCTTCTTTTATTTTCATTGTTCAGAGGCCACACTTTTGCAGAAACAGGTTGTTCAAGAGGCAAGAGTCTTCGTATTTCAGTGTTACATATAGGTCAGACATTATTAGTTTGAACTCCAAATAGTATTCTTACTTTTTAGTTGTATTTGCGTTTTTTTGTCATGCAAAGATAGTCTTTATTCAAATTTAATGGAAACAGGGGTCACTATACTTTGCAAGACAGGGAAAAATAAAATTTAAAAAACTTTTTTAACGTAAAGCAGTATAATCACAATACCAGAATATGGAACGCTATAGTTTATTTCCTGTAGGTTACTGCAAGTATCAATTTTCCTCGACTGTGCTATTCACAGCTTGGTTAAGTCCAAAAATATGAAACCAAAGTGGCAGGAAACTTAAGACTTGGCGCTTTCACTAAATGGCATGCATCGAAAGGCGTCAATTCATGAGCAAAACCTGGTTGAACTCACCATACCTACCTATGTGGTCAGTCCAGCCTTAGAGCTGTCCAGGTTACTGAGCTCCCTCCCTGTAGGAAAGGCCAGGCCTGAAAGCCAAGGTGTTCTGGATATTCTGCTGTGGGCCATGAGTAAAAGGGGATTTTCTTAAGAGAAAATTTTTTTCAGTGAAGCAGGAAGGCCTGGCACCAGGAGGCTTTACGGAGAGTAAGCACTTAGATCTAACAATTATGGACACACCATTAGGGGAGTTGAAAATGTACAGCAGTAACATGTTCTACCCCAATCACCTGTGCTACGCATAGCAAACATACACAAAAGACTCCCTAGGTAGTTCCCCTGTGGTCTTAGGCAGTGAGGACCTTTCCTGGGACCTAGATCTAGATTGGGAGGGTGATCTGAAGGCAGGCCTGGGTTGAGACTTGGACCCCGATCGGGTTTGCAGGCCTGGATGGAGACTTGGACCCCGATCGGGTTTGCAGGCCTGGATGGAGACTTGGACCCCGATCGGGTTTGCAGGCCTGCATCGAGACTTGGACCCCGATCGGGTTTGCAGGCCTGCATCGAGACTTGGACCCCGATCGGGCTTGCAGGCCTGGATCGCGACTTGGACCCCGATCGGGCTTGCAGGCCTGGATCGAGACTTGGACCCCGATCGGGTTTGCAGGCCTGCATCGAGACTTGGACCCCGATCGGGCTTGCAGGCCTGCATCGAGACTTGGACCCCGATCGGGCTTGCAGGCCTGGATCGCGACTTGGACCCCGATCGGGCTTGCAGGCCTGGATCGAGACTTGGACCCCGATCGGGTTTGCAGGCCTGCATCGAGACTTGGACCCCGATCGGGTTTGCAGGCCTGCATCGAGACTTGGACCCCGATCGGGTTTGCAGGCCTGCATCGAGACTTGGACCCCGATCGGGTTTGCAGGCCTGCATCGAGACTTGGACCCCGATCGGGTTTGCAGGCCTGCATCGAGACTTGGACCCCGATCGGGTTTGCAGGCCTGCATCGAGACTTGGACCCCGATCGGGCTTGCAGGCCTGGATCGCGACTTGGACCCCGATCGGGCTTGCAGGCCTGGATGGAGACTTGGACCCCGATCGGGTTTGCAGGCCTGCATCGAGACTTGGACCCCGATCGGGCTTGCAGGCCTGCATCGAGACTTGGACCCCGATCGGGCTTGCAGGCCTGGATCGCGACTTGGACCCCGATCGGGCTTGCAGGCCTGGATCGAGACTTGGACCCCGATCGGGTTTGCAGGCCTGCATCGAGACTTGGATCCCGATCGGGTTTGCAGGCCTGCATCGAGACTTGGACCCCGATCGGGTTTGCAGGCCTGCATCGAGACTTGGACCCCGATCGGGTTTGCAGGCCTGCATCGAGACTTGGACCCCGATCGGGTTTGCAGGCCTGCATCGAGACTTGGACCCCGATCGGGTTTGCAGGCCTGCATCGAGACTTGGACCCCGATCGGGTTTGCAGGCCTGCATCGAGACTTGGACCCCGATCGGGTTTGCAGGCCTGCATCCAGACTTGGACCCCGATCGGGTTTGCAGGCCTGCATCGAGACTTGGACCCCGATCGGGTTTGCAGGCCTGCATCGAGACTTGGACCCCGATCGGGTTTGCAGGCCTGCATCAGACTTGGACCCCGATCTGGTTTGCAGGCCTGCATCGCGACTTGGACCCCGATCGGGTTTGCAGGCCTGCATCGCGACTTGGACCCCGATCGGGTTTGCAGGCCTGCATCGAGACTTGGACCCCGATCGGGTTTGCAGGCCTGCATCGAGACTTGGACCCCGATCGGGTTTGCAGGCCTGCATCGAGACTTGGACCCCGATCGGGTTTGCAGGCCTGCATCGCGACTTGGACCCCGATCGGGTTTGCAGGCCTGCATCGAGACTTGGACCCCGATCGGGTTTGCAGGCCTGCATCGAGACTTGGACCCCGATCTGGTTTGCAGGCCTGCATCGCGACTTGGACCCCGATCGGGTTTGCAGGCCTGCATCGAGACTTGGACCCCGATCCGGTTTGCAGGCCTGGATCGAGACTTGGACCCCGATCGGGTTTTTGAAGCTGACTTTGATATGGAGCCTGATTCTGACGGAAGTTTTGGTTTCTCTTTGGCATTGGATCTCCACGTGGACCGGATCTCCTGACTGGTACAAGCATTCTCACTCTCTCCCCTCGGCCTTCCCTCTGGCTGGATTCAGAGTTGGGAGCGGTCAGTGTCTTCCTTTTTCCTCCTGCTGCTGCCCGCCTTGCTGCCTCACTTTCTGCTCCTCTCACTCTTGCTTCGGCTGCGGCTGCGGCTGCGGCTCTCCTCCCTGCTTCTCTTCCTGCTCTTCCTCTTGGCCTTGCAGCTCCTCCGGCTCCAGCTGCCCAGTTTGCTCCGACTCTGGCGAGACTCTTCCGGCCCCTGCCTTCCTCCTGGCTCCTGCCCCACTCACACTGCCTCGCTTCTCCTCCTCCACGCTCCTCTCCCGGCTGCGGCTCCGACTTCTCTTCCTTTTATGCCTCCTAGGACTCCGGCCCTTGGGTTTTCCTGGCATTGTCATTGTTTTGGATCTTCTCTTCAGCTTGGTCTTTGCGCTGGCTGCGGCCCTTGCCGGCACTGCAGCTGCGGCTGCGGCTCTTGTCCTTGCTGGGGCTCCTGCGTTTCTCCTTCTTGTTCCGACTCTGACTCCGGCTCCGGCTCTTGGTCCAGGAGCGAGGGCCCGACCTGGACGCGGGTCTGCTCTGAGAATGACTGCTTTGGCTGCTGCCACCTGGGCTCCTGCTCTTAAGGGAGTGTCCGCTTCGACAGCGAGGCCCTGAATGACGCCAGCGTCTGGACTAGGGCCGGCGGCGTCTGAGACGTGGCTTGTCTTCCACGAATCAGATTTTCTGCCATTTACTTTTCCAAAGCTCTTTTCATATCAGAATAAGATACAACTTCAATCACCGCCTTCATCTTTGCGTCCCTTGTGAGCATCCACGTAAGTCACTTATTCTGCCCGCCAGCTGCACCGACTTTACAAATTCTCCACAATAAGAATATACTGTGTGCGAGTAGGAGGGCCGTGTTTATCTTGGCCACTTCTACAACCGTATCAACTGCGTCCAGAGCGGCAACTGCCATCTCGCCGGGGGCCACGGGCATGCTCAACAATTACTCACTCACCGCAAAGGTCTTTGCCATTCAGTTCATAAACAGCATCATCTGCATCATGCAGATCATGAGACTCCACAAAACCATATCCATTCTTCAGATCCACCTCCAGGATCTTCCTGTAGCCTTTAAAGAAGCGCTCCACGTTGGGCTCCTGGGCCTGGTAGCTCAGGTGGTCACGTACACCTGCAGCATCCCAGCAACGGCGGTCGTGGCTGGCCCCGACCCCACCTCCTCCTTAGGTGGCAGGCAAAGCCTGTATTTTCATTTTTATTATATTATTAATGCATATTGCTTGAAATAAACATGATTTTGTGTTGATAATCCTTTTGTTAAAATACAACTTTATTAATAATTTTGAGACAGAGTCTCGCTCTGTCACCAAGACTAGAGTGTAGTGGCACAATCTTGGCTCCCTGCACCCTCTGCCTCCCAGGTTCAAGTGATTCTCGTGCCTCAGCCTCCCGAGTAGCTGGGATTACAGCCCTGCACCACCATGCCCCACTAATTTTTGTATTTTTAATAGAGGTGGGGTTTTGCCATGTTGACCAGACTGGTCTCAAACTCCTGGCCTCATGTGATCTTCCTACCTCAGCCTCCCAAAATGCTGGGATTACAGGTGTAAGTCACCACACCGGGCCAACATAACTTTACTTTGAAGACTTTTGTCTTAATGGGATTAGAACTGCATTCTAAGATGAGTTTCTGCTGGTTACCGTAGAAGTGTCGACATTTTTCTACCCAAATTTTTTAGTACCTTGAATACTGTCTTGCCCCTCTTTTCGTGTTTCCTCTTAAACGTATGCCAGCTTGGATAAAAACGTACTTTAGGGAGTCTCCTGACATGAGAGAAAACAGTTTTGAAATCTTCAACATACAGCATATTTTGTGCTCCTCTTCAGAGTAAAATTTTTCCCAAGGTATTTTGGTTTTCCGGGACTATTGTTAATGCATGTTGTTTTTCCTGTTTTATGCTTTTTCAGTCTGTTTGCTTTATACTATAGGAATTCCAGCGGCTTTTTTTTCTGTTAGCATAATTACCAGTATTGCATGTCACCTGGGCATAACTACTTTTCCTAACCCTGTCGTAAACCATTGCTATCTCTTAGCATATTTTCTCACTTACGTCTTGACTGAATGGGCTTCTCTTCTCCGTTTACTTATTCTCTTCACTCAAGATTTATCAACTCCCTGTTTAATGTCAGCACAGTGCTAAGCACTCTGCACGTATGTGTATTATTTTTTTGGTGTTACAGCTTCATCACCCTACGTTCATCACCCTACCTTTTTTTTTTTTTTTTTTTTTTTTTCTCACAAACAAGGTCTTGCTCTGCCACTCAGGCTGGAGTGCAGTGGTGTGGTCATGCCCACTGGAGCCTCAGAGTCCTGGGCTCAGATGATCCTCTTGCCTCTGCCTCCCAAGTAGCTAGGACTACAGGTGTGTACCACCACCCTGTCTTTTTTTTTTTTTTTTTTTTTTTCTGAGAGACAAGGTCCTGCCAAGTTGCCCAGACTGGTCTTGAGCCCTGGCCTCAAGTGATCCTCTCACCTCAGCCTCCCAAAGTGCTTGGGTTACTGGTGTGAGCCACCATGCCCAGTCTTCACCTTCTTTTGTAGTCCATCCCCTTCTCCTATTCTCTTCCTGCTTTCCTTTCACTTACACTTTTCCACTTCAGACTTTTAATTCATTTGACCTCCCCTTACCACCCTCTGCCACTTGCCTGCTGGTACTATTGCACACCATCCCTCTCCATGCTGCCCAGGCCTCTAGCTCCTCCTCCTCCTCCTCCTTGAAATTGCAGGGGCCTAGGGGTGTTTGTACAGTGGCATTAGTGCAATGAGGCGGGCTTAGTTAGATAAGTATGGGGAATGGCAGTTCATTTGCTGTTGCTCTGCTGGTGCTATCCCAGCACAGCTGGCTAAAGCAATCCTTAACGATCAGGATTTCTTCTGGGGGCATGCTTCTAGTTTTTAGTGAAGGATCGCAAAAAATATTTAGTGTCACTTCATTGATATTTCCGCCACCTCGACTGAAGCTTTTTGAAATGTTTTTCAAAAACATTTCAAGATCTACAGGTGATGCCTGTAGATTTTGGTTTAGGGATCCGTGTTGGGATTCTCTCCTTGCGTATCTCCTTAATCTCGAATTAAACAAGAGAACAAAAGGTAATTAATGGTTTTTTGAACTGTCTTTTGTATCAAAAATGCCTTGTCTTTTTCTTTCACCCCGCCTCCTGGGTTCAAGCAATTCTCCTGCCTCAGCGTCCCGAGTAGCTGGGACTACAGGCATGTGCCACCATGCCCAGCTAACTTTTGTATTTTTAGTAGAGACGGGTGTTGGGGGGGGGTTTCACCATGTTGGCTAGAATGGTCTGGATCTCTTGACCTTGTGATCCACCCGCCTCGGCCTCCCAAAGTGCTGGGATTACAGGCGTGAGCCACCACGCCCGGCCTAAAAATGCCTTGTCTTAAAATGTCCTGTATTACTCTGTCCACACTAAACTATAGGCACACCTTTCTCTCAATTCAATGAGAGTTTTCAGTGTGGTGAAAGAATTACCTTAGCTCTCTGCCAGGGGACTGTGTCTGGCCTTAGAGATGGCTGTTTGAATTCAGCATTTTGTATTAATAGTTGGGCATATTCATAGTTTATCAGAACTGCGAGGGACCTGAGGAATTATTTCAGTTTCCTGTTTTACATATGGAAACTCAAGGCTTAGATTGATGAATGCAAAGCTTGGTGTCAGATGAATGAAAATCCGGGACTGGAATTTAAGTCTCCTAACCCCAGGCTTTTGTTGAATCAACTGATTTTCTGTAGTGTTTATTCAGGGAAGAGATAGGAATAAACAGTGTCCTATGAGATGACAAATTGTACGTTTTTTCAAGCACCTGGAACAGTGCTTCGTATCTCCCTAAAAGATCTCGATGTTATTGACCTTTGGTTTAGATATGCCCTGATTGCTATAGAAAGTAACAATAACAATCTAAAATGTTTGTTAACAGTCTAGCAATGTGATTCCGAGGCCTGGATTATAGAGGAGGGGAAACGCGCTGGGAAAATGGGTAGGAGGCTAAGTGTCAGCAGTCAGACACACTCACTGCACCCGTGACTGTCAGCTGTGCCGCACAAAGGACATACTCAGCTGTTGCTCGCTGTTGTGATGCTTTTCCTCCCTGTAACTGAGAATTATCACTTTGTTTTTTCCCTCCTGGTCATAAAGAAATCAGAGTTTTAGACCCCAAAGTATGATTTTAACTGTCACGTCATCTTGATGGAAAAACCTTTTTCTTGACTCAGATTAGGAATTTTTGCTGTCACCTTTTCTTAGCAAAATACGATTGATCAGCCAAGTTTCGTAGAATGAAGAATTACTTCTGTATTCACTAGAAAACTCTTGAACGGTTCTAGTGAATTCAGTCCTATCCCAGACTGACTCTAGATAGTCGATCTTTGGGTTAGATTATATGTAAGAGGAAGAAATGGGTAGATTTCGGTGTGAGTCTAGGCCTGTGAGTGTGTATATGTGTGCATATACATGTAGAAGTAAAATAATTGTAGATGTGCTGCGTTTTCAGGATGATCTTCATCAGGTCCACCAACCTGAATGAACTGTCAGTTTGCTGCTTCACTCCTGGAGAGATGGGCCTTTGGCCTTTCATAGTGGTAATTTTAGCTTTCCAGATATTTCTGTAGATGAATATATCTGGGCAGTGTGTTGGTATGAGTTACCTTCTCCCTCCCACGTGGACGAAAGCGTTGGAGGTGACAGTTCTTACGATGTGTAGCTTCCCACAGCCATTTTGGTAAATAGGCTTATCCATAGGCAGTGTGGGGGCATTAGTGGAAATCCCGGTGATGCCTGTAGATTTTGGTTTAGGGATCCATGTAGGTATTCTCCGCTTGCATACCTCCTTGATCTTGAATTAAACAAGAGAACAAAAGGTAATTAATGGTACAGTTGGTGGAGAAGCAGACATTGTCTAGGACGTGGAGTCGGTCTGGAGGATTTGGCTTTGAAAGCACCAGTTTCTGGGTATATATCAGATTAAAGATTGTCAGGTTGAAGAAAAAAAATGTCAGCAAAGTAATTCTGCTGGTATGTGTTGAATGTGTGCTGTGTGCAAGGCCCTTGATAGAGATAGCGTTAGAGATGGAGATGGCTAGATGCTTGGCAATCACTGTAATAGGACATAAACAAGAGTGGTGTCCCAAGTTAATCTCAACAAGAGCCATGAGATGGCCAGAGAAAGGTTAATTTCAAATGAGATTGTCCAAGAATGCTTCGTGAAGAACATAGCATTTGACTTGGGCCTTGAGGCTTTTAGAAGTTTCCACAGTAAGAGTTTGATGAGATGGGCAGCTTCAATGATGATTATGGGAATAGCTTGGTAGTATGTATCAAGGACCTTATGAATCTTTTCTAGGATATAGACCGACAGCCAGGCTATTTGATTTTAAAATTGTTTATAATGATGAAAAATGGATAGTTAAATTGATAAGATGTGTTAAATGAATTACAGTATAATTATGACAATATGCTACATTCATGATGCCAAAGCAACAGTAAAATGTTTACTTAGAAATGTTAAAAGCAGAATTTAAAAGCATATACATGCTTTAATCATTCACATGTGAAGAGAAAATACTAGAAGAAAATACTCCCATACTTCTGATGGTTAACCTTGATTAGTGGACTTATAGGTACTTTTTATTTTTCTTACATTTTCCATGTTCTCCACCTATTTTATAGTAAGTCTGCTATTAGAAAAAGCAACACCAAATTGTTTAAGAGATTAAAAAGGAAGGAAACAACTCAGAGATCAGGGCATTTCTATGAACAACCTTGTTAATCATGCCATGAGGGGTGGAAGCTGCAGTCGAGGTCGGTGACAGACTAATCAAGTCTGCTAATACTGTGACTGTAGCATTAATAATAACCTTCCCAAGATACGTTTCTGTGATGTCCTGTAACTTTATCAGTCTTTAGATTGGTTCTCCAATTTAGTGTACCAAAATCTATGTTGGGATCCTTTATAAATTGGAGATTTCTGAATCTTACTCCTGTACCTTGTAATTCGTTTGTTTGTGGCTATGCCCAGGAATCCACATTTTAAATAAACCCTCAGAGCAATTTCTTCGATTCAGATGGTCAGCCTGCCACACTTGGAAAAGTGCTGCGATAATTGAACTTCCTTTAGATGTAAGCTTTATGTTTTCTTCACTTGGAACTGTGGCCTACCTGGGTATGCGTAGTTCAGTACTGTGAAAAGCCAGTACAGATTGGTATGAAACACAGTATTGGTGGAGCTCGTTTCTTTTGAGCAACACTGATATGTGTTGGTGAAGAACGTGTGGCCTGGGATGGTGGTCACTGATAACTTTCGGGCCC